TCTACCATGCTAGAAACACGTTCACTATGGATGAATCTCTGGGATGTGCACGTGTTAAAGTTCAATATGGAGATGATGAAACAGAAATTCAGGTGAGCCAGACGAGCACAGCATTAGTTAGATAAAACTACTAAATACATAACTAATCATGTTCCAGATCTAGTAAGGCCAGATAGTTCATATGAGAGCAATTCATGGGTATCTTTCGAACAGGTCTCAGTTGACTTGTGTCCTGTGAACTGTATCTACTGGGTAGATGCAGAAGAATTGCAAGTGCTTGATACCTAATTCAACCTCATCCTAAGAAAGGATATGGTATATATGGCCAAGGATGGGAGAGACCTACCAACGTTTTCATGGCTGCAGAAGCCTTCAAGAAGCAGCTAAAGCAGCAGGCAGCAAACCGCCAAAAATAAGGTGATGTTGCCCTTATTCATTAACCTAGTTCATATGTAAAGGTGCTCTAAGTTCTTCACACTAACTAGAATTTCTGCTATTCCAAAAGCTTGCCAGGTAAGCTGATCGACCAGCTTAATGATAAAGACCCAAAATTTATTAAGAATTAGGACCTGGGCAAAAGTAATACTCCTATTAGTTAGTAAAGCAGAAGACCCAGCATTTCACAGGTATCAATGCTATCGAGGAATTGAACAATTATGACGTAGCTACACTTACAAGTACAAGACAAAATTCACTAGTTCAGATGAAAGTTGAGGTACTTTTATCACTTGATAAGATAGACTTGCACAATGTTGTACAGAAAAATAATCCAACAAATACAATTTTTCTACTTTGCTCTGCTAATTGCAGGATAAGATTTATACCCAAAAATCTTCAGAATGTGTAAAAGAAATGATCTAACAAGTTAAGCAGAAAATAATACTAACATACAAGCTACAAAAGGTCAAAGAAGAGGCAAAACCATCTTCAACTCTTCTCTACAGCATAGCTCAAAATTGCAACTTTTCAAGGCCAGGAGCTATAGCTTTGGTTCCAAGTTCAACTGATAGTCTCTATATGAGTCATCCTCAGAACCAATTCTTTGATTCGTGTCCTCCCCTTTTGGTAGATGCTCCTTACCCAATACTCTATCATAAATATTTGAGATAAAATCTATTAGCCAAAACGCAGAATCCAATATCCACTTACATCATTCGTAGAGATGGCATTTTCCTGTTCCGGCGCAAACCGAGCACTCATCAGCATATCCAGCAACATGGCTTAAGCAATATTTGATTCTGTCATTTAAAATATCCTGCAATACCATCTCTTCTTATTAGCGTGTAGTCCTGCCAGCCTTTTGCTCAAAATTGAAAAGTAAATCTTCGTTATATTTCTGTTCCCTAGCTACTATTTGAAGTGATTTTTACCGCCCGTCCCAAGCTTGAGTGTGCCAAAACTTAAATGACTTTAAGATGCCAAAAGACGGAAAAAAAAAAGCAAAACAAGATGTTTTATTTGACAGAGATTCGCATTGTAGTAAGCACAAAAGCAAAAAGGACAATTTCCGTACCACGAGTAGTTCATGCAGGCCTAGAGGTGCTGTAACAACATATGATACCCCCAGATGTTCCTTCGCAGCTTCAGCAGTTAAAGAAGGGATATCCTGAAAAAAATGGAAGACTCACTCAAAATCCATTTCGCCAGACCTCCAACATGTTTTACAGATGACCGACCAGCTGTTGATTGAGATCAAGATTGTATCCAAACCTGTCAACCTATCAGAAGGATGCTGAGATGACAAACCGATTTACCTGGTTCCAGTGTCGTCCAGGGAAAAGGAAAAATGGGCTCACAACAATTCGGCGTGCTCCTTTCTGAACACACGAACTAAATGCATTCTTGATGGATGGTTCTGCCAATTCCTACTAGAAGCCAACGCAATTTGCAGGATAAGAAATTGCTTGCAGAAAGCATAACGAAGGCCAATCACCAAGTGGAAATCAATCTCAGAAGCATGAAATTGCATGAAGGAGATCACACAAATAATACCAAGTTACTTTATACTCACCAATATTAACTTTTTACTCTTCTATGGAAGGTATATCCATTCTATTGGTGAAGTTAGTTTATATGAGCTTATTACATGCAGCACCAGTGTGTGTGTGTGTGTGCTTGTGTTTGTCTATGCTTGAGTACAGATGCAAATTCGAAGGTACAGAAAGAGAACAAGGAATAATACCATGTGGGCAGGCTCCACAATGGGGTACTTGGTTTTCTCTTTGAACATTGTAACAAACTCACCTGAGAAGGGGTCAGTTCAAAACAATTGTAAACAAAAAAAAATAGAAAACTGATAAGGGTTGAAAAAAGAGAACCTTAGCCAGTGTAACCGCACAAAATCCACCGAAATAGTTACCATAGCATACCGCCATCAGCCAGCTCATGATCTAAATTAACATCTTATAAACAAAAATGAATACTACCCCTAAAAAAAAATTTTTGGCTTGCTTACTTAGCATAAGATTTGACTCCTTCCGACGCGAACCATGGTCCACAATGATCACACCATCGCCATCACCTACTCCGGGCAACCCCTGGCTGAAGCCACCACGGGCAGTGGCCAAACACGGTTGTGTTCCAACGTATCTTCTTTGCCATGGTTTTTGAGGTACTTTTACAAATCCAGAGGCCGCCCGTCCGTGGTTTCTTCCATTTAATCTTATTTCAGGGCTATAATTTTATTGTATCAAGACAAAAACGAACCCCGGTTACTGGCTTATGCACTCGAATCATTAACAGAACAATTTCGGTATTAAAAAAAATAAATGAAATGAAACAACATATCATTTGTATAGTATTACCGGTTAGAGAGGATACCTTCTCCTGAAACTGAACTGACTGAGTAAAGAGGAAGACTCCATAGATAGAGAGAGAGAGTTCTGAGCTCCTCGCTCCTCCACACTCCACAGCGTCATTTTACTAAACCCCGTCACTCTTGTCAAATGTGGCGCATTGGGCATTGGGCCTAGCCGGTTGATCCTGGACAGCTCCGCCGTTTATGAAATCCTGTCTTTTGGACACCTCTCACAGCTCTTGTGGCCCAAAAGTTTAACAGACAACTAGACATCTGACTCCCTGGCCGCAGAGGCGAACTATGATTTGGGCTTTTGGGTTATGACATCTCAAACCGGTATCTGACTCCCTGGCCGCAGAAGAGAACTATCATTTGGGCTTTTGGGTTATGACATCTCAAACCCGGGACCTGAGTGGACCATCCTTCTCATTTTTACGGTTGGCGGAGCGCGTGATTAACTTTAAAAAAGTCAACAAAGACGGCACTGGAAGGACCCAGCTGGTAGCAACAATTAATAACATCACGAAGAAAAAAGATCAGACCTGTTTGCAGGGTGCACCTTGCTGAATCCATTATTGGATGATGATGAATAACTATTAGGGGCACGTATATAAATAAATTCATGAATGAGCTGGTGTCGCTCAGTTACGTATATATAATAATTAAGAATGAAGACCAAATCTTTTCTTATTCCTATCAAAATAATAAAAGACAATGTATATACTATCACCGTTTAATTTATAATATATATATAAAAATTAAATTTTAAATTCAAATTTTATATGAGACGTTAATGGTGTATACACTGTCAGTACATGAAAGATTAAATTCTACAAGAAACACACATGCGCTGATGTTTTTTTAGTATATCCCAGTGCAATGCAATTGAGTAAATGAGTTCGGGTGGAGTCGTGGTGGACGTTTAAAAAAGTTACATAAAAGAGGAGTTGCAAACTTTGAAAGCTAGCCTACCAAATCACATTTGTTGATGCAACTCTTCACCAGTTCACTTGCAATCCACCCATGATCATCAATCAATAATGCCAACTCTATTCAACTAATCCATAAAAGCTTACATGGTGGGCCTTTGAATAATTGTACCATCGGCATCTACTATTAGCGCTCGTTCTTCTAGAGGGCTCAAATTTGCACTGTGTTCTTGTTAGGGTGCATTGATGGTTATTAGTTATTGGAGGGAGGCGCATCTGAAAATGCAGTGGATGGATGTGTAGTATCGAACATAATGATGCTGTCCTGTCGTTTAATTTACTGTAACTCTCAAACGTCCATACCACACACACTTTAGATCCCTTCTTGTCGACTTTGCAATTGATGCCTTCATTTGACAACACGCCACTGATAACCTTAAGCAACAGGAACAAACACGTAGCAAGTGTGTGTGTGTGTGTGTTCTTTTTCTTTTTTTGCTATTGATTACCTGTTTCGACTTCTTATGGAAGCATCTTGGTCCAACCAAATCTTAAAATAAAAACTTTTGCTAGAGTTTTTCTTTCTTTTTTTTTTCTAGATTGACAAGAAAACCCGCAACAATCAATCGAGAGTTTGCGCTCAATAAATCCCATCTCGGAAGTTTCTCTTCTTCCTCTTCTTTTTAATATCCTTTTTCCTTTATGAATAAATGCAGAAGTGATAGAAACTTCCAAGAAGATGTAGGCCTAGTTTGGTTTATGCCTTCATATATTTCTTTTTTGGAAAATGTTTATTCATCTGGTCCCCGTGACCTCCCAATTATATTTGAGCAACTTTAAATCATGATCAGTGATACATCTCTGATTGGTTCACATTTATTAAATTGTTACCCAGTCACTATGATGGTTATTCATTCAATTTTTTATGTTTGGTTACAAAAATATTGGAGAGATGAGTGAGTGAAATTTCAATGTGCCTCGTTGGAAAGTGGAGCATTTCATTTTGGTCATTTCCAGAGATGGCAAAATGATCATTAAACTAGTAAAGTAAGGTATCAACAATTACGGATGTTCATAGGTTTTACGTGCCGTTGCACTCGACTTTTAGTGAAAAACCGGGCCGCCGCCCTAATGAAGGAATTAGTAACACAAAGTACCAGCAGTAAGTTAGTACTAACTGACAAAGGGGCCCAGGACTAATAACTAATTAGGAATTGAATGAGAGTACGAACACGAAACAGAGCAAGTTCCTACATACCTTACCCGAAATCGACGTCACCACACCAACTGCCCCTGCCCCAAATCCCGGGCCCCCGGCGACAAAAAGGCGGGGTCTTCCTCTGGCTCTGGTCCCCGGCAACTCAAGCAACGAACAAGTGCTGCTTAGCTTTCCGCTACCACTAGCACTCAAGTGCTAGAAACTAATCGGCGCGAGGAAAAGTCGTCCTCAATCCTCAGCCCACTACTCCACTCTCACTTCCAGGGAAAACTATCCATCTCTTCTCTCTCGCTGTTTCATTTCTTTCGAAAGCGATTGTTACTCCTCTTAACTGCCGTTTCCGCTATCAGTCTCACTCTCACGAGCTTCTTGCTTGTCCTTAGTTGATCTCCTTGAAATTCTGCAAGAATCCGTGAGGTGTTTCAGGCATCAGATTTGCCTATTTTTACTATATGCGGATCTATGTTTATGTTGCTGATGAGCAGATTCTGATATTTAGTTTTGTGAACTGAATCGCCTTGAAGCTAAAGCGGAAGACTTTTAAAGCAGATGGGAGTAACTGCCGAGATATTTGAAAGTAAAAGGATTATTTCTGTGCGCAAGATTTATTTCAAATCATCTCTCTCTTCTGGGATTTCTGAAGGAAATGCGAGAATCTGCCCAGCTGTCTCAGGTTTTGAATGATTTGAAGGAGGTTTGACTCAAGGTGAATTAGATGAAGCGAAGGTCTAACTCCCAGAAATTTCCGTTGCATCATAGATGGAAGAGAAAGTTAATTATTTTGCTTCTGGTTGGATTGTGTTTGGGGACTGTGGCATTAATGGAGACTCAGTATTCTCGAATCAAGAAGCTGGCTATATCGTCACCGCCTTTTGTACAAAAGCCCAAAATTGCGTTTCTATTTATAGCAAGAAATCGCCTTCCTTTGGACATTGTGTGGGATGCCTTCTTTCAGGTACTAATCTCCCAATCTTTAGAATTCTCTCTCTCTCTCGTAGAGCTCTTTTTTTTTTTGGGAGGGGGGTTTGGGGATTGTTTTTCCTTGATTTGTCTTCATAAAAAATTTATATTTTCGAACACATTTGATTTTAGTGGCTGCATAACACATTGGACTGGTTGCACTATGTTTTCCTTTTTTGAATAAATACACTATTAAATTCTTGGTTGCTGTATTTGTTGACTGGGGGACAGTTAGGGGTTTGTATAGAAATGTCTTTTAGGAAATTGTGCTATCCTCTACATAATTTGCAATCTGGCAAAGTCATTCTAAGTTGTTGGTATAAACTGTATACAGCATATGATTTGGACTGAAAATTCACCATGTTATTAACAAATACCAGAATTCCAGTTTCTAGAGGTGGTCCAATAGTATGGCTCCAGTTGTAAACCAAAAGTCCTTTAAGACTAATCTTTTTTCTTCCATCCAATTTAAGCTAAGCTTTCCTCAAAAATATAGAAACACTTGTGGATAAGCTTAAATTGTATGACGCCGTATATGAATGATTTACCATCAAGCCTTGTGGTTTTGGCATCATAGGAAATAATCTCAAAAGGAAGTTAGCCATAATTCAAATTACTCTGGATGTTATCATTACAACTGTTAACTTTAAGTACATTCAAGCTATTCGTAAAACCATTGACTGGAGAAGGTGAATTGTGAGCATACGTGTCCAATGTCATATGGATAAGACATGAGATTGATAAATTAAAGTGACCATCTTTTATAACCTTTGGCAGCTTACAAATGTCTTGTTGTATTGAATATGGTGAGAATAGCTACTTCTTCCAGTCAAGTGTTACAATGTGAAATCTATCCATGAATGGTTTCTTTTAAACCTTTATTTGCATATTGTAAGTTGTTATGTTGGCTTTCAGGGTGATAAGGAGAATAAATTTTCAATCTATGTGCACTCAAGGCCTGGTTTCCTGTTGAACAAGGCAACAACAAGATCAGCATACTTCTTGGGTCGCCAAGTGAACAATAGCATACAGGTTTTGTGCCCTGTAAACATGAAGTCTTTAAAACTGCACTGCTATCGCTTAAAACATTCGGCTGTTTCTTTCTTGGAAACTCTTGTGATTCAAGGAATAAAAGCTTGCAGGAACTAAACTGATGGACTGCCATTTTATGTAATGGCTCAATCAACTTAAAAACTCAATCATATAAATGGCTAGTCTTACCTCATTGGCACCAGCTTTGGTAATAACACATCCAGAGTTCTTTTTCTGGTTTAATTTTGATATTGTGCCTTTTATTTAAAAAGCTAGAAAATTATTTCTCTCTCTCCTTGTTTCCCACTCATCTCTTCCCAATTTAAGACTTGGAATCAACTTGTCCATCTTGTGTCTGCATTGGCTAATAGTTTTGGCCTCTGTAGCCATGCTATACCTTATTCTGCTTAAGAAAGTTCAGTTTCTGGTTGTCTGAGATCATATTCTTGCAATTGTTAACAAAGGTTTGACTAAATTTTAGTTTGTTAGTTCTTGTTTTAGAGCCTAGAGATCATCCCAGTAGGATTTTAGTCAGCTTTTCCATTACTTGATTACATAGTTCTTGTTTACCTTTGTGGTCCTGCTAGAAATGACAGTATAATCCAGGGATATATGTGCCTGAAATTCAGAATCAGGAATTTGGACACAATTTTGTGCTTTCACTTACTGTAAGTGCCAAATGATACAGAATGAGCATCCTTTTGCTTGCCAGGTGGAATGGGGAGAGGCAAGTATGATTCATGCAGAACGTGTTTTGCTTCAGAATGCATTAGAGGACCTACATAATGAGCGCTTTGTTTTTCTCTCAGACAGGTTATGATTTGTCATATTAGTGCTGCTTTTCCCTTGTCATGGTTTCAATTAATTCTTTAGATATTGGTACTACTTGATGGTTTCAACTAAGAATTTCTTGGATCTTCTCAAAGTATTGACACTTGATCTTTATTCCAGTTGCATTCCTTTATACAACTTCAGCTACACATATGATTACATAATGTCTACCTCTACTAGCTTTGTGGATAGGTGAGGGACTGGTGCCATCTGTGCTTTTATATTTGTAATTCTTAATTTCCTTGTTAGTCAATTGTTATAGTTAAGTTTAGGATGAATTGATAGCGCTCTTCCAATGATTGTTGGGAGCAGTTTTGCTGATACAAAAGAGGGGCGGTACAATCCTAAAATGCATCCTGTAATTCCTGTTGAAAACTGGAGAAAAGGATCTCAGGTAACAATTCAAATCACTAGTATTGTTTCTTTGAATTTGAGAGAAGATCCATTGAGGAAAATGTAAATGACTAAAAAGGGGAAGGACAGAAAAAGAAAGCAAAAAGAAACTATTCTATGAAACATTGCTCTACTTAAACCAGACTTTCAGCTTTGCTCTTTCTATTATCTCCTTGCAGTGGGTTGTTCTGACAAGAAGGCATGCAGAAGTCGTCGTGAAAGATGACGTTGTTTTCCCTGTGTTCCAGTGGCATTGCAAGGTAAGTCTTTCCACTTGTCTTTTGTGCGATTATTTTGCTATCAGGAAAGAGTATATTCCATGTTGAGCCATACAATACTTAATTGTGCTGTGAGACACATTTTAACTGGTTGTAGATAAGAATGTTATAGAAAAGCTCCATTAGGTCTTGTGTCTGTTGGGTTATCAGTTAAAATGGTTTTCAGGACTTCAGTTATTCTGAATGACTTGTAGCTGGCCCAAAATGGTGCCTTTTGAAACTGTTCTTGTGGTTGGTCCACATCATGCATATAGAAGTTTGCCTCAAGTTTTCAGTTTTAAATTTTTAATTAAAACACTTATGGCAACTGATTGTTGAAAGAGTCAGCATTTGAAGAATAAGGATTTGTTGTTACAAAGAACTAGTGATTATGTTCATGATCCTAACTCCACAGCTTCTTGCCCATTATCATGTGGTTTTATGCGTGCTCAAATCCTTTCTTATGGAACTCAGTGAAATTCATACACAATCAAAAACCAGTAGCAAGAATTTCCTGTCACTTATGTAAATTGTCTTTTACAATTATGCAGAGGAAGTCATTGCCCGAGTTTTGGCGAGATCATCCCCTTGTGAGTGCTCCATCTTTTCTGTCAGTTCTTATCGGTCTCTTTCTCATGAATATGTGCACATTTTATTTTCATGGTTAACTGACATGCTATATTGTGCTTCCTCCCTTTCAAAATGGAAACACTACCATTCTATTTGGGTTGCATCTATAGTATGTCCACTTTCGTTAAATTGGAAAGTTCATATTATAAAATATTACTTCTTTTTACTAACTTCAGATGACAAAGGAAATATTCCCTGCTCTTTCTACAGATATCAATAAACGTAGATAGTTGCTCAACATTTTTTGTACCTTCCCTAACTATGTATCTTCCTTACTAGTCTTCTACAATATAACTAAGGCATCCATGTTAAAATGGAGGGATATTTTCTTGTACTTTTGGAGTATATGAAATGAATTGGAAATATAAACAAGTACTTGTCCGCTTGCCTTTGTTGGAGAAAAGAAAAGCAATTACTTGTATATCATTTTTAAATGGTCATTCACTCCCTTTCTAAGTACTGTTATCATCTGCAGCCTGCAGAAGGATGGAAGGAGCATAACTGTATACCTGATGAGCATTATGTTCAGACTTTGCTTGCTGTAAGTGTATTTTTCAGTTAATAAAAGATTAATTGAATCTTTGTCATTGTATCCTTTTGATAGGACCTGATCCATCCTAAGGTGAAAAGATTGCACTTTCAGTAACAGGAGTACTCTTAACACAAGAAATCTATAGAATTTTATTCGCTGCAAGTGGTTCAGCATAACTAAATTGTTTTCTAAAGTTTACTGTCACTAATTTGATTCAAATTTTTAAATACTTGATGTCATGTTATGCAGACGTTCAATCTCTCAATCCTTGATTGGTTTATATTTAAGAAATTTTTTTATTGTTTGTTTAATTATGGTATTATTTCAATATCAAGGGCTCAAAAGAATGGTTCTGGATAAATTGAGGGGTAATGGTGCGGAATTTTTTATTTTTTATTTTTTTAAATTTCCAGCAAGGGAGGGGTAGGGGGATTTGAACTCAGGACCTCAATTCATGGGGCCTCAACCTTAACTAATAGACCAAGGGCTCTTCGGCAATGGTGTGTAAGTTTTTAAACCTTAGATAAAAAATTTGTTTTCAGATTTTGAACCCAGCCTTTCTGATCAGAGGCCTCTGGCCTTGGATTGATGCTCTGGCAAGGGGATTGAAGAAATTAAAATGTAAAAGAAATTCTTTGTCAGAATCATTAGGAGTTGCATTTGCTAAAAGATGCTCTTGAGTCAGAAGATTTGGGTTGACCCAAATCACGTCAGATGCACGGGGGTCATACGTCCTTTTTGTGGTTTATAGTATCTAATCTCATGTAACTTTGTAGTTCTTGATCTCTAATTCAGCAAGAAGGCCTGGAAGGAGAAATTACAAGAAGGTCAGTCACTCATACCGAATGGGATCTTTCATCTTCGAGAGACCGTGAACGGCGAGGTTGGCATCCTGTGACTTACAAGTTAGCTGATGCTACTCCACGCTAATCCAATCAATTAAGGTAAAGCATACTTAATTTGGTAGAGTTCTCCCATTTAACAACACTTCATGATAGCACTTGCTGACACTGTCCGGTGCCTAAAAATTTGTTTATTTACCCGAAAGAACAGGATTATCAAACCCAATCAAAAGCATACCTCGTCGTCAAGAAAGGCATTCCAGTGATTTGTCATGGAAATAGTAACTGGAGAAGAGAGTGCATTATATACTTTCACCCCAGCTGTTCATGTCTTCTGATGTATGGAAGTCTAGATATTAACTTGATGGTTAGATATTTAGGTTGAACAAAAACAGTAAAATGCTAACTAGGAAAATGATAGGGAGACATATTGCAATATCATATGAGCAAAATCCTTACAACTTTTGCAGGATATTGATAATATCTATTATGAGACGGAGTACCGTAGAGAGTGGTGCACTAGCAAAGGGAAACCTGCTCCATGCTTCCTTTTTGCAAGGAAGTTTACCCGGCCTGCTGCTCTACGGCTGCTTAACATGGTAAGCTGCATATAGTTTAATTTCTTTCAAGCCATAGATTTTTGAAGAATGTAAAAAATAATGTGCAACATCTTGATGTCGGATAAATGTTTGGATTCTCAACTTCAAGCTGTGAATATGTAGGTCACTGGAGATCTGAGTACTTAATGGTATACTTTTTTCTTTTCTCCAGACTGCACTCGGAGTCCAGGGTGGAGCCTCGAGTAACTCCAAGAAGAAAATATCATCGATCAGTTTTGAGTTCAATACCAAGAAGAAAAAGTAGGCTTAGAACGATGAATAATTTGTTACTCGTGATAAGAATAAAATAAAAATTGTGAGAGCTGTAAATTAAGAGATGGCAGTAGAAAAAGTTGAATGTGCAATGTGCTGATGTATAGTAGTACCATGCAGCAATTTCCACGCTTTCCGTAATGATATTCAATCTGTTTATCGCCCTTCGGTTGCCGTGCCTTTCCAATTTCCATCCCGGCGGTCTGTTACTCCGTTAGTTACTGGTGGAACAATGCAGAAGGACGACGGAGGGTAAATGTGCCCCATACATGTATCATACAGAACAAATCACCGGAACAAATAATGGGCCCGTGTGCCTTGCTGGTGAGCACATCAACTGTTGTTGTACTTGTATGTATTCCGTTGGAAAGTTCTTCATGCTAAGGCCGAGTCCATCAGGTTACCTTGTATTGCCGCCGTTAGTTGTTGCAATCAGTTAATGGGTAAATTCCTGACAAAACCTGAATCAGTAGGCTCCTGGTATGGTTCTCATACAACTTGCTCTGATGGCTTACATCGAGTGCAGGCGATGCTATCTGTCAGTTTTTCCTCATATTTATATTACATTGGTCGTGTTTTTTCTGTAACGAATGTGGAATAAATGAACAATCTTTTCGTCACACATTGGTCTGAGTTAGATAGATAGGTCCTCAAACATTTTATCCGATGGTTGTTTGGTAGAATTGTTATAACCAGATTTTTGTTTGATGATATTGAGCTCTCATATCCCAAAAGTTAGATAGGTCCTCAACAATGTTGTATTTTAAAAAAATAAATAAATTTTATATACATTGACATTTATACACTATCATAGTTGAATGCATGATATTAAGTAAAATTTGAATTTTAAATTTAAATTTAAATAAATTATTATACATCCGATAAAGATCGTGTATTCACTGTGAGTGTGTGTATGTAAGATTAATTCAAAAAAGAAACTTTGAAGGGTGAAAAAAGTAAAAGTCCAATAAATCCAATTTATGTCACCGACAAAAGACCTTATCCAGTACAGTAGTCGATGACACTTGGCTCCCCTGATACCGGACACCGACAAAATTCATGACCGTTTGAGGATCGGTTATTATTTTAACGCAGGTTGAGGGAGGCGATTGGAGTGAAATCCCGAAGGTTTTATTATTATTATTATAGGCAGAGTGGAGTGGGATTGGCCAGAATTCTTCAATCCTCATCCAACGATTAGAAATAGAAACACGTAAAAGTGGAGATAAGACGAGAGGGAGACCACTGGCAAACGTCATTAATTTTAAACCACCGCAGGATTCGCCCCCGTCAATGCAGAGATTCAATCCACAGTTTCTAGATCCGCGCCGCCCCCACAACCCGAGAGACTGCAGGTTTTTAACTGCCAGAAAAAGGTCAAAGTCTGTTTAATTTAACTCCCCCCACTTCCCAGCGTAATTCGTCCAAATTACGCGGATTGCGGTCAGGAAGACACCGACCAAAAAGCGATCTAATTTTATCCTAATCACATCACCAACAATCACTACACGCGTACCTTATGCCCCCTATTCACTCATCCCAGTCACTGCGGTTTCTAGTTTTGATTTGACTCCCAATCCAAAAAAAAACCAAAAAAAAAAAAAAAAGCGATAAAGTGTGAGCTGCTCATTGGTACGTGTGTGAGTAAGAAAGGAACGACGACCAGGTGGTAGTTTTGTACCTGTAGCTAACGGTCACAGTTTCCTCGGCAGTTATGAGCAGTTGGATTCTTAACATTCAACGTCAACGTTTTGGACTGACTTTTGCTTAGAGAGAGAGAGAGAGAGAGCCATATACCCCCTCAAGAAGGCCGGATTTCCTTCCTGCTATTGATTACTTTTTCCGATGACTGAGAAACTCAGACTTTTTCGTTACTAAAGTTGACCTGCGAGAAACCTTCAAAAGCCGGCAACTTTTGAAGGCTCCCGCAGACCTTAATAAACCCAAACCCCAAACCCCCCCGAACCGATGTGGGATAGAAACCCCACAGGGGTGCCCCGCTGCTAAGAAGTAAAGACCCCCAGACACCCACTGAAATGGAGAGATCCTGCTATTGATTACTTGTCCTCCAACAATTCCAGGTGGCCACTGAATGCTCCCAGTTTCCAGAGCCAAGGGGTCGGTCCGGCAGGGCCACCTATACGTGGCAAACGCTCCATGGCCACCGCCCCACGTTTTCACATCGGAAGCACGGATACCGCAAGGTGGTGGCCAAAATAAAATTCTCAAAATGGCCCATGCTGCACACATACACCCATTTTATTTATTTTAGGGATGTTGGTACCTAGAAATGGCCCACACGCTTTTGGTAAGGGTATTCAACTGGCCCCATGACCTTTTTCCTTTTTACCTTTCTTTTAAGATCCTTTTGTTATTCCCAACCCAGCCCTCAACTTTTGTTCTTTAAAATTTTTCTTTCTTAGGCTTTTCACAGTACATTAACCTTTTTTTTTTTGGGTTTTTCGTTACATGCGAAAACGTAACGCTATTAATCTTCCAATTCTTGCGCTCAATTGGTGCTGGTGCGCTTCTTTGCCCTTTCTCTGTAATGATGCCAGATGTCCAAATCCTAGAGATCTTATTAGTCTTTTGGTGGGTCCCATCTCATGCTTAATCAAGGAGAATTAAGATTCCATTTGAATTAGTATCTTTTAGAGTTTTTGAAATATATATATATATACTGCAGCAATCTAATATATGTGATAAAAAATAACTTGAAATGTTTTACCTGCTTTCTAATTGACCCTTTTCTTCTTCTTTACTCTGCACCATTTCATATTTCTCCAGTACTTTACAACTCTCTTTTGTACTGTTTTCCCTTGAATAATGCATCAAATTACAATCAAAATAGTAAGGCAGAAATAATGAATTCCTATTTCTTTTTTTTTAAAACAAACAAAAGGACCTAGCCCCACTTCAGGCCCCAACCCTTATTCGGGTTGTTGGGTTATTCCCCATTTTTTTGACAAGACTCGAACACTGAATCTCGGGTGTACTAACCCTTAGTGAGACCAGCTTGGCTGCCTTGGAGGGGCATGAATTCCTATTTCTGGTGTCAAGGTTTTCTTTTCTACATTTGTCTTCATGAGCAATTATCGTGAACTCGGAAGATCGAATTTGTTTGGGTTACGATTATAAACGAATTGAGTTTGAATTTCGATGGGGTTGAGTTTAAATTTGATCAAAAATTAATATTTGATTAAATTATCATATTCAATTGGAATATGTAGATATTTGATTTGTTAAGACTCAATAATGTTCGAAGAATTTTTTATATTAACATTTTACATGAAATTACATATTAGTATTGTGTTATATAGATTTTATACATAAATAGTGGTAAAATGATATTATAAATTAAAAATTCAAATAGAATTTTGATCTTTTGAATCGAACTCGAACCTGTCGAATACTATTAGATTGGATTGAATTCAATCTTAAATTTTAAACTTGTATAGGATTTGAACTTGAGTCCAAAAGTTCACATTCGTTTGACGGTATAAAAGTTAGCTAGATTCGATTAATTTACAGCCATAGCTTCAGTTTCTTTATTTCTCTTTGCATCTTCTTTTTTTTTTTATGTTTTTCTGATTTCTTTATCTTTGAGCCGTGGAAATAAATAAATAAATAGTGGAGTTTGAATATGCGGCGGAACAGAATATATGCTTTTCGAAACGTTTGTAGCATTTGATGCAAAAAGACATGCCTTAGCCCCTCTTGATTGATTAGATTCTCACATGATAAAATAATGGATGCAAGTATAAATAGCTTTATTTAAAGTAACCGTTTGGGTATCAGGAAAGCAGATTTTCTCGTAGATAATAGTGACGGAGCTAGGATTTTTTTTTTTGTAGAAGAGATCAAAATTTTTGTAATAAAATTATCCTAATATGTTATGTTTAAAATAATTTTTATCTATTTAAATATATAACATCTAAAAATATCAAATATTAACTTCAATTATAAAAGTATGAAAAAATAAATAAATTTTTTAAAAAAATTAATTTAAAGGTGGCTAATTCATATGGGGCCTAGCCCCCTTGCTCATATAAAGAGGGAGAATGTTCTCAAACATATAAAGAGAGAGAATATTCTGAAACTTTGAGCTTCTTGATTCTTCGCTCCACTGATTCCCTTTCACTTTATCAATAATACTTCCTCCATCCCGTAACATTCCTGTTGACTTTTTTCTTCTTTGTATAATTAAACAAATTCGCATGTCGAGATATTAATACGAACTATATATATATATGTATACATACATACATATATATGTTCGAATTTTAAGAAAATTTAAAAGAATGTAAAGATGATCTCCAAAGATTATATGGTTTGACTTAAAAGGTCGATTGCAAAAACTCATGTTGTTGTAACGGGATGCAATCTCTCATGTCAGTGAGGGATTCCCGTCATCCATAACCAAGACACGAATGAGGGAAAAAAATCGGTGTATCAATTGATTTAATGAGTGATCAAACCTTTCTTTTTTCCCCGGATATTTTTCCATTTTTCGTGTTGTTTTTAGATGGTATAAAGGTTAACATTAAGGTAGAGGATGCGCATTTAAGTACAAAAAGTTTGATAATAAGATCATACAGCTGATTTCCAGAAAAATCAGATTCTAAAGTTAAGCTATATTATCATTTACTAGTGGAGAAACCAAAGACCCAATGATATCTAATTCCGTATGCATATTGACACTCCCTTTCGTCCTATAATATTTTATTTGTCATGGTCAAGTTTTATCTATTTTCTAATGATGCTTGACAATTTAAAGTTTTTTTTTCACGCCTCATTTGCACCTCTTTTTCTGTTAAGTGGATACACATGGATGATGCAATAATCTATCTAAATCCACCGACATAATTTGAGTTTAGATGTTTATCCATTTAAAGCCATTAAATTCATTGGAGTCATCCAAATCCATTTAAGGGCGCGGTTATATATATATATTTTTTGTCAACATAGAGGGTGTCCGAGTCAATCCGTAAGGAGCCCGACTAATCCCTCTGCACCTGTGTATCCCGCCCCCCAAGAGTACCCAGACGATATGTGAAGCCAAACTCGAACCTGTGCCACCACGAGGAATACCCCATTGGTTCACCGGCTGAGCTGATCCCGAGGGGCAAGGGCACGGTTATATGTATATGCTCGTTTGTACTGATACTTTGCCGCTTCTACATGTTACTTCGTTTTGGTCCTGACTTCTTGCATGAGGGGAGGGCAAAATTATCCGCTAACCTAAAAACTCGACATATTCGATTCGATCTGATTCGAAAATTAGGATACTCAATATGTATTATTTGATCGGGTTAAAAGATGGTCGGGTATCTGCTAAAATGCAAGGTGAGTTAAGGTCATATAATTAAAAATTCGTGGGTACCTGACACGTCCCACATATATATATATATATATATATATATATATATATATATATATTATTTTTATACACATATTATAAAATAATGTTTTTAGAACTAAATAAGTAATTTCATTGAACAAATTGCATTACAAATATGAGAGACTATAGTTTATTTACAATATTTATTTATATAGGTCATAATCTTATATTTCATACAAAAGAGTTTAATTAATGCGGAACATATATTTAAAAAAATGTGC